TTCCTGCACTGCTTCCGTTCCTCCCAACTTAACATCTCGGATACGAAAAACAGCCTGGGAAAAAAAAGGGGAAAAAGCAAGTTTGGTTTCGCTTGAATTGGATACAAAGCTGGCGAGAGTTTTGATTCGGGTTGTCTTCATTTGTTTGTTCATTTGCACAGGAGACAAAAAGAGTTTGTTTTATTCTAGCGTAGAGGTTGTGGGAATGTGAAGTCCCTGGTCCTGCTGGTACCACTGCTGGAGAGAGGGATTTGCAGCTTAGCTCTTTTACAGTCCTTACTTGGCGAGGCAAGAACACTGAGACAAGCATCCCCTTGTCAGGCGTGTTGGTTGGATACATGCAATCAAAACTGAAGGCAGGTTGTGTTGTAAACGTGGTGAGGTCACTTTGTGCATTGCTCAGATTTCCTCAGCAGAAGGGTATCCATTCTCAGGTCACTGGCAGAATTCTCCTAACTGATCCAGCTCAGTGAAACTGGAATGTGCCATGCAGTTTAAGAAGGAAGGAGGCAGGGAACAGCACAGCTTTTTTTGCTTCTTGTTTTTTTGTTTCCACTCATTTTTAGTAATGAGTCAAACCTGTGAACGTACACAAGGTGTGCGCGTATGTGTATGTTGGGGCAAGCTTGTACTACACAGCACAAAGCTCTTCTTCCTTTCACACAACCCTTTTAAAACAAGTTGGAAGCTGGGAGCTTTTGTCTTTCTATATCTTGTGAGGTGACATCAAGGTGTGCTGATACTTGCAGTAGACCTGTGATAAAAGCCCATATGTTTCAGAGGCCAGTGTTTGGGGTGGGAGAGGAGGATGGTCTTCCTTGGAGACAAGAGCCAGTGTGGTATTTTAATTTCAAAGGTAATTAGGAAAGGAAACACAAACTGTTTAGTGTGTTTGTAACAGTGGAACAAGTGCTTCCTTGTTACTCTGCTTGGGTATGCTAATCACATCACATAGAATCACAGAATGGTTTGGGTTGACAAGGACCTGATGATCATTCAGTTCCAGCCCCCGTGCCACGGGCAGGCACACCTCACACTAGACCATGTCACCCAAGGCTCTGTTCAACCTGGCCTTGAACACTGCCAGGGATGGAGCATTTACCACTTCTTTGCGCAACCTGTGTCAGTGCCTCAGCACCCTCACAGTAAAGAACTTCTTCCTTATATCTAAGCTGAACTTCCCCTGTTTCAGTTTGAACGCATCACCCCTTTTCCTATCACTACAGTCCCTGACGAATAGTCCCTCTCCAGCATCCTTTTAGGTCCCAGAGCACAAAAGCAACTCTCACATCCAGAGAGTATTCCACAGCGACTTGGGTGCCTAACCCCAAAACTCAGTGGTACCAAGGGGCTGCAGTTTCCCCTTCTGGCCAGGCACTTGCCACAGCTCAGAAGATGATCTGAGCAGGTCTGCCATGGCCTAGGGAAAGCACTTGCATAACTTTTCCCTTGGAAGTGGTGAAAATGTCTGTAACAAACAGGTATATTCCCTGCAGTGTCATTGTTTGAAGTGATAGCTGCGGTCCCAGAGATCAGAGCTCCCCTGGGGTTTTCTCTCTGGTCTGTGCCCTCATCTCCTTCCCCAACAGCTTCCAACCTGAGTAATCAACTTCCAGCTCTCAAAATTCCTTGTGCTGAAGTGCTTCTATAGATCACATTCCTTTCCATTTTCTGGCACTACACTGGCCACCTTGCAATACCACACGCAGGAGGGCAATTTTTGAATGCTCAAAGTGCTGCAAAAGTCATGCAGAACACAATATTCCTGGGATGTATATTGGCCTATTATTCTTATAATCCAGGTTCTTGGAAAGAGTTTCTAATCTTCTTACGAGCAAGACAGGCTGTGATACTACACTGAGGAGCACGTGATTTCCCTGAGGAAGAGAGAGATTTCAATAACTTACAGGCTGCCTCTTTGAGAGGGGCAGGTGAAGGTTCTGTTCCAGATTTGCTTCAGCCGTGTACTGCCGTACAGCTCAGTGCTCCATAGCAAACTAAGCGTTATTCCTTGCACGAAATTCAGCCAAGCACAAGCCACCTGCTTTTTATTCCTTTCCATATTGCATTTGTTCTAGTTTGCTGCTGTCAAGTGCTTGCAAGATGTGAAGCTGTTGCTACTTAGGTTTGCATAGATATGTATCTTGGGGCTGGCTTTCTATTTAGTGGCTGAGGTGGATGGAGGGAGGGATGCTTGATGGGCTGTAGCTTGTTAACTCGAAGTTAGTAAGAATTGTTTTACACCTGCTTTGAGAGCAAAATCAAGGACTTGTGGGGTTTGTTTCACTCATACCACAGAAAGTGCTTTGGAGGAAGCTGGTTTTGCTGTCTCAGGATGCTCCATTTTCTGATTTATCACATGCTGAAGAACTGTTCTGAATGGTAATTTAGGAGAGAAAAGGAGAAAGACAAGTAATGGTGGGCTCCATGAGGCTTGTGTCTTGGGAAAATGTCAAAGTAAGATTTATTCCTGTGATAATAATGGTGTGCTCTTTGCCTCTCTGTCTTCCCTCTCCTCCCTGTCCTTTTCCCCTCTCCTGCCTTCCTTCTCTCTGCAGCATCCGGAAACCTTCTCCGGAGTTCTCCCCGCCCTCTCTGCAAAGGACGAGCCCCTCTGGCTCCCACTCAGACGCCCGAACTCTAGGGAACAACAAGCTGTTTTGATCCCGAAGCCCCTCCAAAGGAGCGTATGCTCACACAGGTTTCTGACCAGAGACACTCTTCAGCAAGCACAGAGACGTCTGCCTGCAGACGTGTACACTCAGGAGCACGTGAATTACACGCATGAGACTGCAGTGTGACACCCCAGCACCTCCCACCCCATGGTTGTTCACCAGAGCTGCCTGCCCCAGTGTGCTTCCACAGTTTGTTTTCTAGCCCTGCATCTCTGAGGTGTGTGGGCAGCTCTGATACCAAGGTACACCGGTATCGCTGCAAGCGGTACCAGCCTGCTCACAGAATCTGTGTTCCCTTTGATTTAATGATTCTCATTAAAGTCAGAGATGAAACTACTAGTGTTTGAGGATTTGGAGAGGGAGGTGACACTGTTTGAAAGGCTTGGGCTGATCTTAAGGCATGGAGGGAAAGGACAGGGAAAGGACGGCTTTGGTAATATGCTTGCAATGGAGAGCATGATACAGAGATGTGGTATCATGCACCTCAGAGTGGGCATCCACTCTAATAAGACCAGAAATTACTTTTCCAGGGGTTAGGATTTCTCATTTATGACAATCATCACTTCTCAAGGAAGTTATTGACTTCTGGTGAATTTCTGGGTGTTTGAGTTGATTTATGTGAAGTAACAAAGGGGAGGAATTGGGACTGGGGGCAGGTGTAGACAAGGAGAGCCTGAATCTGTCTGTGTCTGTCCACCCCCCCTTATTTTTGTGTGTGTGTGCTCAGCAGGGGATGACCTAAGGATGCACCCACTGAGTGAAGAAGTGAGTGAGTACAAAACATCTCTGCTGAGAGCAGCCACTGGCAGGAAGAAGTGCAAAATCTTAGATGAAAATAGCATGGAGAAACAGCCTCTTCAGGTTCAGCTGCAACGGGCTTTGGCTGATGAGCTTCCCCAGCCATCTCCTCTGTCAGGGATTTGGAGATGGCAGTGCTGGTGGAGGAATCCACTGTCCCACAGAGCCTGGTGCAGCCAAGCTGGGTGGTGAGGGTAGGAGCCTCTCCAGGGCAGATATCCAGGAGGGAGGACCATCAGTCCCTCCATCAGCACACTCAGGCAGGGTGCTCTCTGTGTCTCTTGGCAGAGAGGTGTGGGGACATGGCCATTCTGTGTGTGGGGCTGGCTTTATGTCAGCCCTGGGCTGGTGGAGGCAGCCCTACCTGCCTTGTGCTGCTCTCTCTGTGGCCCAGAGACTGGTTTGCATGTCTTGCAAGACTCAGATGGGTGAAATCTCTGCCCTTGGGATCTGCCCTTGGGATCTCAGCAAGACCTCTGTTCTTGCTGAGGTCTGGAGAGGGCTCTGAAGTGGTTCATATGTGGGACCCACGGAGTAAATGGGCTGAGCTGAATGGTGCCCTCCACAGGTGCTCGCTGAGGTTGTGTTCCAGTCTGTTCTCCCTGGAAACTCTTCAGTCATGGCACCGACTAACCTGGATCTCTGTCAGGTTGTCAGAGTCCAGCTCTGACCCTCTCCTGAGTGTAAGCTGGAGATGATGTTTGTTAGGTGGCTTTCAGGGCCCAAAAGCTTGGCTGTGTGCTGACACCAGGAGCTAACTCTGCAGTGACGATGTCTAGTGGAGCAATAGTGACAGCTCGTGACAAATGACTGAGGCTTCTTCATGGCAGAAATGCCTTTAGTATGTCACCCTCTCCTGACCATGGTGTTCCTGGTACACTTCTTTCACCCCGTGAAGCCAGTCCAGAGAACCAGAGGAAATGGCCTATAGAAGATGTGATTTGTGGGCAGAGGTGGTGAAAGACTCGTCTCCTCTTTAATTTGCGTATTCATCAAGATGGTGGAAAAAGTGTGGATGGGTAAGGGCTATTTCTATGTACATGTGCCTCATATTGTAATCATATTGTAATCTCATATTGTAATTGTAATGTTGTAATCACCAATTCCTTCCAGATCTCAGCTACTTTTCCAGCTCTGAAAGGCTGTGCTGAGTTCCCAGGAGTAATTTGTGTTAAGTGGCCCTGTAACTATGATGCTCCATCCTCCTACTATTACCTTCTGTTCTGGGCAGTTGGTTGAAGCAGTGTAAAAGTGGTTGCAAGAGCACTGCCATGTTCCTGGTGTCTGTTTAACTTTATGTGAGCTTCAAAGAAAACAAGCCAACAGCCGGAAGAGCTGCTCCAGGCTTGTCAGGGAAGGGGATCTATTCTGATTACTTAGCAGGAGCACTAACATGAAATCAATAGGGTCTCACTCTGAAAGTGTCTTATAGATGGGCCTACTGAATTTCCCATTGGATCATTGGCTAAGAATAACTCCCTGAACCACATCATTTCCCCTTGCTGAGGAAAAACAATACCTCTCACCTTTAACATGAAGACCTCAGGACACTTTAATATAAACCACAAGTGAATCATTCCAACACTCCTGTTGTAGGAAGAATGATATCTCTTCTTTCATCCAAATCTTCTCACTCACTCAGTACTCACTTAGCACATTTCTGCTAATCAACACAGCTCCTGGGAGTGGGCTGATAGTTGCCCTCAGAGCTGGGTACAGAACCCATGAGATAGAAGTCCAAATCCAGCCTTTTAACTGAGAGGTCTTGTTGTAACCAGTCAACCTTGTACTCTCCGATCTGCTGCTTTTCCTTGACATCCTGTCCCTCATGCAGGAAGTAAATAACCCATCCAGTTTCATGGTGAAAGCATCATCTGTGAGCAGGCAGCAGCAATAGGTTAGGGATCCTTTCCATTCTAGGGTATGCATGCATGCTCCAAATGCAGTGGCTAGGCACAAGCAGTGTGCAGCTCATAGGAGATGTCTGTGTTGCTGGGGAGGGTGAGGTTCCAGGGCAGGCATGACATTATCCTGCTGTGGGAAGAGCACAAGGAAATCAGGCTGGGCATTAGCAAGTGGTGGCTGCTATTCTAACACAGGAGCAAGCAAAATGCTGATGGACCTTGTACTGCTTTGCAAGGGCATGATGAACAGGGTGCTGTGCTCTTGCCAGGATCAATTGGCTGTAGGGTGAATTGGGATGAATTGTATGGGGTTGTGTTCTTCATCTTTCTACACACACACCCCTACTTCTGCCAGCAGTGCTATTGCTGCCCTGAGTGTTCTCAGTTTAGTGGCAAGAGCATAGCTGTGAACCTGTGCAACTCTACAGCTCTCTGTCTCCATTGCAGCCAGGTCCAGGGTTTCCAGCAGTGTAGGTTAGCACCCCTTTAAGACGATGTGCCATGGTTTGCCATTCATAAGTAATAAAAGGCCACGTATCTCCACATCCATTCTAACTTTAGAGTGCTTTGCTCTGCAAAGCATGCTAGGAAGGAATAGACCTTATGCTCAAGGGAATGCCTGGTATTTACATAGGAATGCCTCTATATTTCCCCTATCTGGGTCTATTGGATCTATTTTTATTGCCTTGTGCTTGAGTTTCCTTCCTGTCCATCAGAACAGAATTTGAATGTGAGCCCATTTTGCCTTCTGCTTCTGTTTTTTCCTGTTTTGAAGTACCCGGTAGCTTGCTTCAGCTGGATGCAGCATAAAAGTCAACTCAGAAGCAACACAGACAGAGTTTAATGTGTCAGTATAGATCCAGCTACTTTGCCGTGCCTGCAGGAACTTTGGATCTGCAAAACTCCTGGCAAGAATATTATACTATTGAGAAGACCTTTATGTCTCTCAGGATGAGGACTTGGTTGCTTCTACTCTAGGTAAGGTAATCATGGCTGAAGGCATATACTCTACAATGCATGGCCTAGAAAATCCCCAAATAATTATCTTTAGCCTTAGTGCTTTATAAAGCTGTGCAGTATGAGAAGCAGAAATATATTACTGGTCTTCTGTTGTCTCATCCTGAAGAATGCTTGTTTGTCATGTTTCAGATGGGGGCCCATTGTTGACAGAGGAAAGATGGAGAGAGTATTCAGGGACAAAAGGAATAAATCCCAGTTAGTACAAGATTTTACCATGGTTTGTGACTTAAGCATCTTCAAGGTGATGTAAGTCACAGCCACTTTCCTTTCACAGTGCAATGCTTTTATCCTTGAGGAATAAGTGTAGAAAACTCCTAGAAAACTACCTTAGTAATTTTCCTCCCTCACAGGTAGAAAATGATTTACACAGGGTCATCGAGGTGATGGGAGGGACCTCTTTACGTGTTTATCTAAACAGGGGAGGGAATGCATCGTTTCAAACCACAGGCTGCATGCACTGCCTCAGTGGGTCCCAGTAAGTTATTCCAGTGACTTACTTGCTATCCAGAGGCAGTGGGGCTGCACAGAACTTGCCATCAATGGATGCCTCATCCTTCCTCCAAAACTGGTTCTTGGGGAGATACTTGAGAGTCACGCTGTTTATGTGGCAGAGGGGAACTCTGTGGGCCAGCAGCCGTTTGCCCACCTCCTGGTGCTTCGGTCTGCAAGGCAGCGTGAGAGATGTGAGGGAGAGCACTCAATCAACCTGCAGATGCAAGCCGTATGGAGAGCTGTTGAAACACTGGGGGAACCTGGGGTATTATTGGGAAGGCCTCATAATACAGTGGAGTGAGAAGACTCATCTGGCTGTCTCTCCATGATGCATCTCCGTAGTCAAGACTATTTACAGATAAATACCCTTCCTTCCATCACACAATTACAAGAACTGGTTTTGCTGCTGCACATAAACTGAAACACTGCCCCAATGGCCACAGAGAGGTAAGTGGTCAACATCTATGAAATCATGAATGGCACAGATGGGGATTGGTTGTTCACCATGTTTTCCAGTACACAAACTAGGGCTGATCAAAGAAAGTTAGGAGATGGCAGGCTCAGAAAGATTGCACACTGCAGAGTACAATTCCTTTTAAGCTGTTAAAATCCTTGCTATGGGATGTTGTGAATGCTAGAAAGTTTACGTAGCTGTACAAATCAAGGGAAGGGGACTGGACAAGCTCATGGAAGAGGAAAGCTAATAAGGACAAAGATCCACCTTTGGCTCTTGAAGTCCCTGAGATACAATTACTCAGACACTGGGAAACTATTTGAGGAAGTATTGCTACATGCTTACACTCCTTTTTTTTTTAATGCTTTTCCTAGGTATTTGCTTTTGACCATGTTGAAGGTGTGATGCTTGGATAGAGGGATATTTGTACCTATACTCTTACCCAGGTAACATGAACTGAGAAATACCAGAGGTTTGGTAAGCAGCGATTAGAGTCCAGTCAGTTGTGTGCTACGAAGGGGTACAGGCCAGCCATTCTATGTAGATGGACCACCTCCCTCATGTGAAGTCCATCCAATGGACTTATGCTTGATCTTCTTGGCACCTCGAAGAGCCTGGAGATCATAGATTTCTTTGTGCCTATGAAGAATATGTGTGTAACTGACTCGGCACAATCCCAGAAGCACCTGGGTGACTGCTTGAGTGGAAATGTGATGGTAGGGAAAGGAGAGAGCTGACAAAAGGCTCAAGAAGAGCCTACATTTCTGTTAACCAACATAGCTCCTGGGAGTGAGCTGATAGTTGCACTCAGCATCCTCCTAGGCCAGAGTGGCCAACCCAGACCAGCACAACCAGTCCCTCCCTTAAACCACAGCGGTAGGTGTTGGAGGTTTTGTGTGTCAGACTGTGTCTGGCTTGAAGCTGCCAAAAATAGGAAGCATCATGAAATTGTGGTTATAAAAGTGAATAATAGATAGCAAATGGAAAACAAACAGAGGGGGGGTCATCTCTCTACTGTGTGTTGTCCATGGGCAGGACACAGCCCTGCCTTAGGACAGAGGAACACGGTAAGGTTAAGCAGGTTAAAGAAAGTCACTCCTGGGACTGACATTTGCTCCAAACCACACACAACCTTTGGATGGATGTAGGACTCTTGGCTGGCTCCAGACCCATGGCAGGGGGTTGGAACTGGATGATCTTAAGCTCCTTTCCAACCCAAACCATTCTATGGTTCTATGATTCTTGGATATGGGGTATGATGTTGTGTGATGTGTAAGCAATGTCAGTGCAGCTAAGTCCTTACTCTGCCAGACCCATGGCAGTTATGGGGCTTGAGGACATGTTTCTTGGGGCACTCCGAGCAACCAGTGGGGTAATGGCATCTCAAGGAATGAGACTGGAATTGATGTTTGGAGGAGAAGGGCAATATGAGGCAAGACACAACCACATGAGTCACTTGCTGAAAGTATGAGACTGGCTGAACACTCCCCAGTCCCTGTGCACTTCTGGGGAGCTGCAGGATGACATGCATGTCAGATGACCTGAAATGAGTCAGTGAACACTGCTATCTGAAAACCTATGCCCATTAGGCACTGAGCTTGCCTGCACTGGAGGGCAGAGCTTTGCCTGGAGTGGAGAAATCTGTTTGTTACAGTGTGAATTAGCAGGGATGTCTTCAATTTTATACTCTCAAATCTGTAGGTTTATTGCTGTAAGCCTATTTTTCAGTTTAGCCTTGTGCTTCTTAGGAAGGCACCTAAATGTGATAACAACTGCTGTTCTCTCAGGGTGAGGGTGTCTCTGGATAGGTTACCCTGCCATAACTCTAGTGTCTCATTAAAACCTGAGGGTACAGCAAAGCCTGGGGATTGCCTGCCTGTCTCACTTCTCCTGCAGGACACCAAACCCCGTGTGCCGCAGCTGCAAACGGAAGCGCTGCACGGGGCCTGACTTGACCTCGGTGTTACAATTTCCTCCCTTTCTTCATCTTTGGGAAAGGCAGATTTGGCCTCCAAGTTAGAGAGGGGTCGAACAGACTGAGCTGCACCAGGCAGGAGTACTAATCCAGATGGCAGTGCCTGGCTGGAAATCTGTCACCAGTCAGCTATGTCAATCTGGAGAGCACCCTGGAGTGTGGCTTCCCTTTCCCTGGTTCTCATCCCTACCTCCTGGTGCCTGGGACTGAAGAGGCAACACAGTTAGCTTCAGGTCACAGTGCTTTGGTGTAGCACTAAGGACTGTGTGGAGGCCAGTGCCGGAACCCCTCTGATCCTATGAGAGCTGGCTGGCGCTCTATAGCAGACAGGTTTCCTGCTTCCTGAGGCAGCCAGCAGTGCGTGCTAGCTGCATGTCCACCTTGTGGTTCCCAGCCCACAGCAGTGGGAAAGAAGGGATAGGAAGAAGCGAGAAAGATTTCCGGGGAAGTTCTGCGGTGGAGAAATACCCTGTGGAACAGGAACCTGAGTTTGGTCCTTTCATTCAGATACAGTTTGGAGAAGGGAGGTGCTTTCAAGAGAGATCTGTCTGTCTGCACACATGGTCTTCATCCTCTGCCCCCTGGATGATTCCCTATGGTGAGAGCCTGAGAGCTTTGCTGCATCGCTGCAGGGGCAACAAGCTACTGAACACATTCCTGACTGTGCAGAGATGCACTTCTCCTCTTTGTAACTGCTGTCCTGTCAGGCATCAAGAGAGCTGTCTAAGCCTGGAACCTCTGATGGATGGGGTCTTGCTGTAGCCATCTCTGACTGGCAGAGCAGTAATCTGGCTGTGGTTAGAACTGGCACCAGACATGTGAATGGTGTAGAAAATGAAGTAGCATAGCAACACAAAAGTGCCAGTTTGGGGATCCCAGAGTATACCTGCTGCACTCAGGGAGGAGGCAGGCCTGCCTCGGGTTACTGAGCAATGGTAGCACGTGCCTGATTCTTGAGAGCATACAAGGTAAATGTGGAGAGGCTCCAGAAGAAAGGTTGTGGTTCATCACGCAGTCACTGCCCCATAGGGAGATTTGCTATTGTTGTGCTTTTCCTGGACTGGGGATAAACAGCATTAAACATGGAGCTGGAAAAATGAAACAGGCCAAAAGCATGCCCTGTCACTCACATGGTGATCTTCACTGTGTCCTTGGTGCTGTTGCTCCAGAAAGTGATCTCAATGCTGGTGACTATGTTTCTTTTCTTCTGCAAATGGAACTCAACCAGGCTGTGATGGACTGAGCAAGAGGCAAAGTTATGTGGGAGCGAGGGCTGGTATTGTCAGTTAGACCTACCCCTGCCAAGAGAAGTCTTCTAGCACTGGTTCCCCGGCCCCACCAGCACTAAGAAACAAACTGACATAAAGAAGTCTCTGTGCTAGGAGAGGCACAGCAGGCAGGTCTGCGCAGTCCAGTATGAACAGGCATTTTCACCCCCCCTCTCAGTCCTGAAGCCATATGGCTGTGTTAACCCAGGGCTCTGCCCACACTGGTAAATCCACTGGGAAGGGCTTTATAGGGGAGATGTGCAGGGTTAGGGCTCTTCAGCTGTGTGTCTCAGACCGTTTGGGCCACAAGAGCTGATTCTCATGGGGATGGTAGGTCCTAACTACCCGGATCGACCTCATTTGGTCAACACCCTTCCGACTAATTTTTGTTCTCATGCTACTTACCACAGAATGGAGCTGAAGGACCGGTCATTAAATACACTTTTACTTCCTTGGGAAGCTTTGTCATGTTGACACCTGCCTGCTCCAGCAGACCTGCAGGAGGAGATAAACCCAGTGCAGGGAAAGCCATGAATGACCCAGAACAGAAACGGAGTTGTTCCCAATTCTCCTCCACTCACCCCACCCAACTCCACTGTCTTGGGGGACAGACCCTGGTTTATACCAGTGCAAATCAGAGCAAGTGCAGGTTTGTAGTTTCTGCTTGGCAGGTTAATGTTCCCTCAAAAAGCTTATTCTGGCTACCCCAGGTGATCATCATCAGAATAACTCTTGGTGGTATCTCATTCCTCTGCTGATAGACTGTTATCAGTGTGCAAAATGAGGGACACAACTACTCCTGAGTCAGGAAACTCAGTGCAAATGTAAATGACAGTGCAAACACTGGGAAATTTAACTTGTTGGTCAAGTGAGAAGACCACCATAACTTGAGGCCTGCACCACTGACTAGCTGACAGTGTGGCTGGGTGACATGGGGAAGGAGTAGCTGATCTGAGAGCACCTATCCCAGAAAAGCCCTCTCCTTGTATTCCTCTGGTACCAGACTGCAAACAGCACTAGAAGACACTTCCTCCCCTTGAGCCACAGCCCAGTTTCAGAAGCCTAGAAGTAACTATTACCTTCTCCCAGTCCAGGGAGTTTATCTATGGGATGACCGTGACACAGCAACAGCGAGTGGTTTGCGGGAGAATGGGACTTCAGGCTTGGGCTAAAATTTCCATCTGCTTCTCTCAACAAGACCCTTTTTGAGTTAACTGCCCACTTGTTTGGCAGGTGACTCTGGAAACTCGTTTGTGAAATGAAAACTGTCATGATCAGAAGTCCAAGATTTTGGTCTTCTGTCTTGGGCAATATATGAGCTTTTAGAGCTTCTCTATAGAAGCCTGAAACCGAACCAGTTTCTTACTATCCCCAAAGAGATTCAAGGCAAATCCTGCTCAGAGTAATCTGAACTGCATCAGGAATGTATTGTCATCTGCTCCAGGCAGGTCTCATGCTGGTACTGTACCTATTCTGGGACAGGAGAACAGGAAGGGGTCCGCACAGTCCAGGCAACGACCATTTAAAAAATCTTGATGACTTGCACAAGGGAAAGCCAGGAACGGACAGGAATTTTTCAAGGCACTGACATAGAGATGTACTGCCCTCATGTGATCACAGATCAGGTATTTATAGCCTGCAAGACAAAATGCACCCAGAGAACAGCAGCCATGAGCCTTCCTGTTGGCTTCAGCCTTTTCTGCCTGTTCCCAAGAAACACTCTTACTGATTCTGCAGCAATCCCCTTCCCTGTGACAAGCCCAGATCCCCACTGCAACAGAAGATATGTAGGAAGTTAGAAGCGCATCTCCCAGGCTAATGGAGTCCCTGAGAAGATGGGGACTGCTGGGCTGCCATGTCTCCATCAGTGTGCTATCAATGAGGCCCCAGGTGCTCTGCAAGGGGGTACAATAGCTTTGGATCCCACCTGCACTGGGACCCCAGCTGTGGAAGTGAGGTGTCCCCTATAACCTGGCCCCCATGCAGAACATAGTTGAGTATTTATCCACTCTATTTACTGTGTGAAGTCCCATTCTCAAAGGGCTGTAATCATACAAGCTGTCTTTCTAAGTATAGACACAGCTTGCAGCATGAACTACAAAAAGAAGTCTTCCCCAGTAGTACCCAAGAGCCTTCCTAGCAAAAATGCTTTCTTTGTTGATGCAAACTCTACTGACTCTAGGGTTTTGGCTCATACAGAAGTGTCACTAAAATCGCATCTCTCTCTTGACCGCAGTTGCCAAGACACTTGACCTGTATGTGGTTTTAATTTCAGCTGCTTGATGTACTGCTGGGAGGAGCTGCGGGCTATGAATCCCACCACCGTGTATCTTTACAAATACATGTTGTATCGCTTTGATGTCTGCCCAGACTGCAGCAGGAGCTGGTTGGCAAATAGCATTTTCACAGGCTGGTAAATGGCCATGAAAGCCACAGTGTTCTCACCTGCAGAGGGGAATCGGGGGCATCCTGGCTGATCTTTGCCTCCATTGACGAAGTAATCGATGTGGCCTACAGGGATCCGGATCCCAAAATCTGAAAGGAGGTGAAAAGCTACTTCATTCCTACACTTGGTCTTCTGTAGGCTTTACCCTATACGGTGTAGGACAGGCCCCAGTAACTGGTTGATTAGTAGTGCTGGACCCAGCTCCAGTGCTGGAGGCAGCAAGGACAGATTTCCTGTTCCAACACACCCGAATGCTCCATCCCTGGCAGTGTTCAAGGCCAGGCTGGACAGAGCCTTGGGTGACATGGTTTAGTGTGAGGTGTCCCTGCCCACAGCAGGAGGGGTGGAACTGGATGATCTTAAGGTCCTTTCCAACCCCAACTATTCTATGATTCTGTGATTATGCAGCTTTGCTGCGTGAAGCTGAAAGTGCCCCAGGCCCTGCCATCAGAATGACTGGGAGCTGCAGCTTCATCACCACCTCTGTGACTCAGGTTCTTGATTCTGTGCAAAGGAGAACAAAACTGACCACAACCTTAATGTGTCATGGTTGAGAGTTACGTTGGTAGAGGTTTTCATGATCTACAGGCAAGAGGTATGACTCAAGGGCAGGGTGTTATTCTTCAGCACATGTTCTGCCTACACAGACCCCAAGTGCTTTAGAATACTCTTGTGGAAGGAGCTGTTGGTTTAACTCCTTACTTTCCCTCACGGCTAGCAGCAGCACCTTTCTTACCTTAGGTGGGAAAAAAGCAAAGTGAGACTAGACAGGTAAATTCCTTCCATATGGCAAAAGCCATGCTGAGCTGATTCTGCATAAACTCACTTTGCTGAGTGAAAAAACCTCACTGAAGGATTGCCCTCTGTTTAATCTCCACCTGGCTGTTGCTTGAAGTGCTCTGTGGTATGGATACATGCCAATGAATTAATCATTAAAGCCTATCTCACCAAGAAACTTCCTCAGAGTGAGCCTGAATTTCTGGTAATCAGGCAAAAAAAAGGGACAATGACATAGAGGCTCCTCAGGAATAATGATGGCAGGATGAACAGAAGCATGGGCCGAAGCAGATGGAAGACAGCTTACTGTCAGCATCAGTATGAATGGCTTCCACAAAGAGGGCATCCCCAGGATCCAGGCGTTCCTCAGGGCTGGCTTTGGTGTACTTGGGGCCTGCAGGATCCAGGCCTGTAACAAAATCAAACACCTCAACAAGCAGTGCTCTTCAGCCTCTCTTTCTTATTTCTGGGCCGGTTATTTTGTCAAAACCTTTAAACTGTTGCTAGGCAGAAGTGATGAATTATTCCCAGGTTGCATTGATTGTGCTCCAGAATGGTTTCTGCCACCCCAGCTTCCACTGCAGCTTCCTTACCTTGTCCTCCACTGTTCCACTCACCCTTAGTAGTTTTGTACCTCAAGTTTCTAGGCTGTAAAGCTGTGACTGAACCTCAAATAGCTCTGACAGAGCGGGTACAGAGTATCTTGGCTTTTCAGTGAAAGAGGATAAAACTCGTAACACCTTCCCTAAGTGGAGCATAATTTGTATTAACACTACAGTCTGAGCAATGTCACTGAAGATCATCAGTTAGGTGATGAATCTGGCATCCCAGGTACTAACTAATCCACGCATTACAAAGCTCCAAACATCCTTAAAACAGAGGCTTCTGTGGTCTCTCTCACAAATAGAGTCCTTAAGCATCTACATTCTTGCCCAAAACCTGCTCCTGAAGCAACCTCCGGGGAGTCAGAGGAATAGAGGAAATTATCCCTGGCAATTCCACAGAAAAGGTTAAAGAGATCTGTTTGTTTCTAGCTGAGGTTTATTCTGTTCACTTTTCATAGGAAAAAAATCTCACAAGATGTTCTACACCCCAGGTAACATCGATAGTTTAAGAAACAGCTCTGCTTCACATGCCAGTTTCCAGCTGGCCAAGTTTCACTGCCTTGGACTCAGTCCCATTAATTCTCTATGGAGAAGGCAATATCAACAATATACAAGCTGACATGTCTGTGTTTGCGAGAGGGTTTCCTTCTTGGTGACATTTTCCCTCCTATCAAAATGAATCTCCATCCCTGGGAATTCCCAGAACTTGGCAAGACCATCAACAACCTGATCTAACAGAGAAGGCAGCCCTGGGTTGTGGTTTTTTAGGGGGGTAGGAGGTAGTCTAGAAATCTTCTAAGGCCCCTTCTCACCTAAATCACTCTGTGGCTCTATTCACACTCCGTATCAAACAGCTGAGTTGAACCAGAAAGCTCTAAATGCCATGATCAGGCTCTAACTATCTTTCCCTGTAATTTCCCCACTGCAACCTCTTCCCCACATCCAGGGGACTGGCTCTCTTTGTTTGATGTCAGCTCTGATTTGGTACAGCTGGGTGGCCTTAGCTCAGTCTACTGTGAAAACAGCTGATCTGTGGGAGAGAGCAGCAAGAAGCTTTATCTGGGGCTTCCCAACAGTGGCTCAGGTTCTTGCCTTTGGTCCTTGCTGGAGCTGTGTTGCAGGGATGCGATGCCCAGCCTGGTGTCCTGCTTTTATCGTGACAGGACTTCTTGGCTAAACTTGGGCTTGCCTCATTACTACAGATTTGCCTGGTGATGACTCAAATGTGGATGACCCTGGTTGCCGTCCCTGGACCTGCTCTGCTCTTCTTGCCCGGACACGGTAGGACTGTGCCACTTGTCAGTGAGGCCACTGCCCCTGCCCGTGGTTGTCTCCTTGGCTCTCAGCTCACATTTTTCCTGCAGAGCAGCTGACCCTTGCTGCTCCACACAATGAGATGCACTGTGGGCTTTGGTTTTAAGAACCACACAGGTATAAAGGGGAAACAAAGGATGGGGGTGTTGTGGGCTTTCATTACTCATGAGGCCTTGTATTCTTTTTATGCTGGCAGCCAATTTGAAGAGTGGAGCAGGGGTGGAAGGGCTCTTTTGCAAGTACATGAATTCTTTTGGCAGTGCGGAGGGGATTGATGGCTGGAAAGGGATTGTTAGGCTCTTCTGAAGCTAGGAAGAAGCCCGGAAACTTGGAACTAATGAGCCCTTATGCAATTAAAAGACCACTATGGATGACTCCCCTTCCTTGGTCTTTCATTCTCTCCCTTGAAGAGCAGACAAGAACCCAAAACTCAGTTTTATGATACCTGTTATGCGTCCCAGCTGACCGCCATGGAAGTGTCCCACCAGGCCCCCGACATGCGCCCCAAGGCTTACCCCAATGATGTGGATGGATGTCCCTGAGGCTCCCAGGGCCTGCAGATTGATGATAATTCAAATTAATGTTTCTGTAGCAGAAAGGTGAAATACCCTGTCTCAGTCCATACAGCAGCTCTGTAGCTCTTCTAACATAGGATTGCCTTTGAGGTGTATGGTAGAGAACCAAACAGCTGTGGGAATGATGGGTATTGCCCTTTCTGTTTTTCAGAGTCTTTATTCAGGTCCATAGATGCAAACCCAACCCTAATCAAGTTGGTCAGGTCAGATGTTCCTCTTTATAACTACATGGCCTGTAGCTTCTCTTTCCACAGCTTGTTTCAGGCTGAATTTTCCTCTCTCAGCTGAGTGATCCATGTTCGCCATGGGAATAATCTTGGTAAAGCTGAGAAAATTTTGCCACTTTTATACCACCATTGTGCCAATATACTGATCAGTACTTTCAGGTTATATTTGCAGAGATTAAGGGTTTATCCATGAGCTGAACTGCCAGGTAAAGCACAGCCACTTAGATCTGATGTGAGATGACTCCACGCACAGGAATTCAGTTGCCAGCAGGCTGGCCTGCATGTTGTAGCACCATGCAGTGGGAGAGCATATGGTGCATGACAGCATGAGGGAAAGATGAAAAATCCTGACTTTTAAATGAGGCCATATCCTTGAGCAGTAAGGAAACTTATGAGAGGAGAATACAGCCTTCTGTGGTGTAGTGTAGGACTGAAAAAGTCCTCAAGTAACTAGACTACAGCTCAGCACAGATATGGAATGAGAAGTGAGGACATTGTCCAGCTTAGTCATTTGTTCACTCTATGACATAATCGGTAACGAGTGTGATACTCCTCTCCCCCTCCATCCCATCCCCATCCTTCTGATGACACAGTGGATCCAAGGGTAGCCATACAGCAATAGGTTAGAAACGTGTGGCTGTGGTGTGTAGATACTCAGGAACTCCTATGCTGGGCAGCCTGGGTCTGCAGTGCAAATGTTACACGGGGAGTTTATGCATAGGTGGTTAGCACAAAGATATATCACGTTCACTGTGTTAGGGGTGTTCAGCTGTGCTGTGCACAAACTAACTGTGACACATCTGGGGCTTTCCAGCTACTGGGAAGTATATCTGAAGCCCAAAGCAAATATAAAATGACAACAGGGGTGTGTTTTCAGAACATGTCAAAACTCAAGAGAAAGATGGAAACCAGCGGCATGCTGAAGTCTGCACTGAGAGAGGGGGGGGGAAGAAATCTCTTTAGAGTTACACAGTTCTCACTCTGGAATAAAGTTCGTGGAGACAGCAGGTTAGGAGCAGGTCTCTGAATCTTTTGCATGAATGATATTCTTTGGAATGAATGATGTTCTTTGGCCATGCTCCCCCCCACACTGGAAATGCACAGTATCTTACCAGGAGCTTGCTGATGAATTGTGAGATGGAGAGGGCCAGCTCTGTGACATTTTCCACTGCAGAGGGATAGGCTCCTGTAGACCCATAAACCCAGTCTACTGCAATCACGTTCACTGGGCTTGTGTTCAGTATGGCACGGACAAGCCCTTCAATCCAGGAAGGTTTAGTGCCCAAAGCCCTGTGGAGTCATCAGAAACGAGTGTGTTAGGTGCCTTTCAAAGTAGGGCATATGTTGTTCACTGGTGCTGGGGCTTCACATGTCTTGGAGGAGGCTGCCAGATGTTGTTGAAACATCTGGGTCCGGACACCAATAGCTGGCATCTGCAGTGGTGTAGTAACACCTTCCAGAGCACACTGATTCAGAAGGGAACCAGATACTTTAATGAATGAGGTAACATTTGCAGGGCTTAGACCGAGATCTCAGTCTTCTTGTGGTGCCACCACAGAGCCCACCTCAAGTACATGAGCTGACCAGGAACATTTGGATCCTGCTCTGCTACCAACTGGCAGGAAGTCCTTGACCAAATCACCTTGTCTTTCACTGCTACATTCCCTCACCTGTAGGCAATTAAAAAACCCCAAACCCGATAAAATCTACGCACAAGAATTCAAGGAAAACAGAGGGGGCTATATTCTACCCACTTCCCTTGTTACCACCTGGTGAGAGGCATGCTATGTCACATGAGGGCAAAAGCAGGTTTTCTGGAAAGACCCTGCAACATCATCTGTGCTTTCATCCTGGTCTTCTATGCACTTTCTATTCAGGCTTTTGCACATCAAAATAGTGTTATATGGTCACATCTGGCTGAAAATTGGAAAGTAAAATAAGCTTGCAGAATGGTGACAGCTTAAAAGAACCCAGCTCAAATCGCTGCCCTTTCAAGAATGGTTAATGTGTCTGGCAGGGCTCCTAAATGGCTGCCTAAGCCAGGCTGTTGATAAGTAAGGACATGAGCTCCAAGAAGACAATTTTAAGGGGCAACAATCTTGAAGAAAAGACTTCTTAAATAAAAGGCTGAAAGACAGAAAAGGGAAGAGGTAAATAAGGAGAGAGAAAGAGAGAACATGCAGGAAAGCTAGGGGAACGAGATACAGAAATAAAGAGATTTCAATTTCCTGACTTTTTTTAGGCTCCAAAAAATGTGAAACACAAAAAAGGCAGCTGGCCACAAACTAAAGGACTTCAAGTTACATTGTAATGAAGGCTGTCAGCACCAATTTCCATGCCTCTGCCCTGGCCCACCAACAGTCCCCAGGTCCAGTATTGGGCAGAGCACTCCCAACTCTTATCTTTAGGTGTTTTGCCTGCTGCCCCTCTGCTGAGAGACTAAGAAAGTCACAGGAGCAGGAAGTTTCCCTACCGGCCGCACCCAGCACTTTGGAATGCCCCAGCAGCATCTAATTTAGCAGTGAAAGCTAGTCAGGGTGCTCTTCTTTCTCTCACCTGAAGCCATGGATTATAATCTTGGTGTCCAAGCTGCTGTTGAAGCTGCAGTTCTTGATGCCATCACCAGCTAAAATCAGCTCCCCACAGCTGGGGTTTGAGGAGGTGAACAGAAGAAACTGGACCTTAAGTTTACTGCCCCGAAGGAAATTGGCTGTCTGGAAGTCAGTACAGTGATGCCCTGGGAGTTTGTCTGTATTCCCTACAATGAAAGGCAGTGAACAGCATATTCAGTCTGCATCTCTGCAATGGGAAAAATAAAAGCTTGTTCTGATCCATTAGGAAAAAGAAAGTAGCATTCTCACTTCTATTGATAAAAAGGATAGAATATAAATTATAATCAGCCTATTCTGGAAACTTAGTCTGATGAAGTTGTTTCTGTATTTTAATGGAATTCCAGCACTGCCTGGGGAAGTAACTGTGGATGTCATGGTAGCTTTGACTTGAGAGTGGTTTTACTGAGATGTGAACGACATTCTGTTGGTTTTGGTTACAGCTACTACATACATTTATGAGCTGGCTACTAGATCTTTGAGAAAAAAACGGTTGCCAACAGATAGGCACCACTGAATGGGGATATTTGTATTCAAATAGTGGAAGGCTTAGTAATGGGGTGAAATTTATTGACCTGCAATGAGCAGGAAGCTAAATAATTATATGATCCCTTCTGACCTAAAAAGTGTTATTGTATGAAGTGGCATATTTGCATCCTCCTGCGATGACAATGCAGCCACTTTCCCTTTTCTGGACTGGAAGAAGCGAAACAGCCTTGAATCTGCGTGTACAATGATATAATAGATATATAATCAGACAACCATGTTCCTAAGCGCTGGCTGTACCTATAGAAGATACTTTACACTAGCTAAGGCAGAACATGGCCTAAGGGTCAGCACAGTCTCACAATGAGATGCAATATTCAGATTCCCCTTTGTGGGAAGTGACAATCCCTCTGTGGTTTATTTTGGCCTTCCTGTGTACTGAAGGCAAGAGAGAAAAACATGTTCTCTGAGATCAGTTTGGGGAAAAGGCAGCTCCTGAGGCAGCTTAACACGGAAGGGCGGGTTCAGTGCAAGCACTGTGTGGTCAGAAATGGTGTAAAATGAGAGGGATCATGAGTAAAGATATGGCACACTGTGAAGCAGTGTGATGCAGGTGATGTGGAGCTGCAGTGATGATAGCAGAGTCATTGCCAGCACAACTGAAGAAAGAAATAGAAGCATGGTGCCTGTTTATCTTCTCTCAGCTACTGCAGATTACACTTGCTACACTTGCTTTCAAAGCATGAGATGCCAGTGCCGGAAGTCAAGTAGTCCCTTTTTCGCTTCCTTACGCTTCAGAGTAAATCCAGATCACTCTCCTACATCAGGTTAGTGGAATTCAATCACTGAGACTGAATCAAAGCATGGGAGAAGAAAGTACCATTCTTGCATCGCCCTTTCTCCTGGCACCTAACTAGATTATAGCAAGGATCTTTTGACACACAGGTTGTCTGGGGAGACTTGAATTCAAATCCTTCTATGTAAAACCTTCAATCCCTTTGCCAGGCACTCCTGTTTTACTTACCTGCTTGTGCTGAGTTGAGCAGCAAGAGGACAGCAAGAACAGTGAGCAGCTTTCTCTTTGGATCCTCAACCATCTTCCTGCTAGTCCACTCCAAGTACCAGGCAAAACCAGCCATCATGGGTTGCTTGATCATGTTCACTGTGTTAATGATCAACCAGCCTGTGGGCTTTTGGGAAAAAAGGGTAGGGGCAATTACCTCTGCTCTTACTTGGCCATTTGCTGTAGTCTGTGTCAACAGAAACAGATGAAAACCATGCTGACGCTTCTTTCCTACCTCCATTTCTTCAAGGCAAGCTTCCCATTTCAGAGATGGGCTAGTGAAACCAGCCCCAACAAGTGATAGAGACATAGGGCTTCGTCCTTGCCACCTAGACCTGCCTGCTAAATTCTGACTAGGGACACTGATTTGTCCAAGACTTCACAGTAAGTCCATGCTAGGAAGATTCATATCAGTTTCACATCTATGTACTTTCCTACTGCATTGTTGTCTCTTTCCTGTATTTCTAACTTTAGCAGTAACTGCTAAAAGACCACAAAGCAATAGATTACTTCTGAAAAGTAAAATGTAACTGGTGGCCATTTCACCATAATACACTCAGACTGTACATTTCTTAGGGCTGGGACACTCTGAACTTTTCGTTTGGAGAGTTCATTTTCAGATACTATAGGAAATAAAAGCATCATCTCAGTAATGCACCAGTTTCATAAGCATGCAAAGACTTCAAACAGATCTCAGAACTAAAAAACTTTACTTGTTTGGTGTAAACAGATGGAGAAGCAGAAGTGAAGAACCAAATATGTAACCAGGAGTCAGTCACCCGACATTCATGAGGGGGTGGTACCACCTCCCTGGCTGCGTTAAAACTGTCTGGTAAGAGCATACCTGTTTCCTAAGTCTCATTGGTGTGTGTTGGTCCTCCCTGCAGAAGCCCAGGGAAGATCTGCCCCTGACTGTGTTAAATGGCAAGAACATCAGGCATTGGAAAAGGCTGTCAGGGCACTGGTGGAATCACCATCCCTGGTGTTCAAAAATCATGTAGATGAGGTCCTCAGTGACATGGGTTAGTGGTGGACTTTGCAGTACCAGGGGAATGGTTGGACTTGATGATCTCAAAGGTGTTTTCCAACCTAGGTGATTTGGTGATTCTGTGAGTGAAGGAGCAGTAACCTGTCCAGGCACTATTCTACAGCTGCTTATTTGAACAATAAAATGAAGAAATTGGTTCAGTCTGATCAGAAACATGACCAAAGATCTTTCCAGAAGCATCAAACGTTATCTTCCTTTGCAATTATTTGCAATAGCAGTCATTTCCTTGCCCTCATTTTCTCCAGCCAAAGGCTCTGGGGCTGTTATAGGCAGAAGAGCTTTTTTATTTCCAAGTCACTCCTGAGAGAAACTTGCCCAGTTCTCACAGGGAAGTTAGGCAGCATTAGCTGCCTGGCCTGGAGGGCTACTAAATCCCTGCCCATCTGTATCTCCTAGAGACACATATACAGACACATTCTGATCCTGAAATACCTGGCTCCATAATCAAGCTGGCTTATTGTCAGAGAAGCAGGTTCTTAGTGTATCTTCAAATATGCGATTGAGTTTGTCAGGCCAGTCAGTTCTCCAAGAATGAAAGCTGCAATACAAATAGCCAAATCCTGGTTTCCAGCCTGCTTTTCATCTTTCCAATCCCAGCACTAGATTCAAGATGATTCACAAACCGTAAGATAAAAGCCCATAGACTACAATGGGCCCACTCCTTCGTTACACCCACAAATTCCAGTGATCTGGATAATCCCTCAATCGAGAAAGAAGGAAATAAACTTGTGAAATGCCAATAGACAATGATATGTCCATACAAGGCTTCAGGGCAACAGGATAATTGTGTAAATTACTAATTTCTTAAGGTAAAGCAAACTGGAGCACCTAAAGAAAACCAGCAAACACGTCTTTCCATTTTTTTATTGAGAATTCTGGCAATAAGCCCCATTCTGTGTAGCAGGTTGCGACAGTTACTCTTTGCCAAGTTCTATGGACATTATGAAACACCATGTAATATAAGGCAGGCACTGGGTATCACAGCTTAGAGAAGAACAAACCTGCTGCCAAGACGTGCGCATCTGATTTATACACATAGCATACACACTGTTTCAAAAACATCCTGGAACGCTAAAAAAAAAACAACCCAAAATGAAACAACCCCCCCAACACTTTCATGACATTGAAAATTCTGTTTCCTGAGCAGTTTTGTGTTGTGTTTTCCATTTGGGTTTTCTTCTGTAATCTCAGGTTTAGTAATTCCAAGAAATTCTGTATTACATCAGCACGCTGCGGTGGCTCCTCATGCAAACAGTGAAAGCCACTAGCTTCCTCTGTGCTGAAAATGCTCTTGCCTCCAAAAACTATTTTGGTGAGAAGGGGTTTCTTTTTATCCGTGAACTTATTTACTCAGTAACTACAGTTATATTAGCTCAGAAATTTAACCTTGGTGTCACTCATGGTACCCCCCTATGGAACTGATGATAATGGCAATGCTGCAAAGGCACTGCGTCTGATTTCTTCCAACAGTTCCTCACGGCGTGATTCACTTGCAAATGATTCCAGGACAGTGAAAGCAAACAAACTCTGTTTTAGACACAATTTCTTTTCATGAAAAACATTGAAAATAAATTGCACTGTCTGCACATTCAAGCAAATGCTGCAAGTGCCCAACTCAACTGGGAATGTCATCCTCCCACCCACAAAGCTGGCAGAGGCATACGAGCACTGCAAGTGCCCAGTAGTCAAGTGGAAATCTGATCACAGGAAAATTCACTTATCCTGGAAAACCATTCATTGATACCAACGCCATCAGGGTGGCAGCTTGGGACCTTGGAGGAAACCAACTGTGAATTATGCAAATGGTGACTATTTAAAACTACTTTCTGTGGTCTTTGCATACAAGGGAGGGCATGAAACACATGCAGAGCTCGTCTCACTGTACATTAAGGCCTGGATCCATTCTGCTGCCAGAATAGTTGGTATCACAGCTTTGGTAATTCTTGTCCTTTGCCTATGGAGTAGAAACCATGGATTAGCAGCATGGAGGCTCCAGGATATTGTTTCCAGAACTAACAGAGGAACAGGGTTTAGTTCTCATGTCAACAAAAAGCCATTCAAACTCCTGATTTTCAGAAGAGTGTCCTAACTATGAGATGGTAGGAAGAAAGCATTAAAAATTGACTCAGCAACTGAGGAAGGGAAGTCATGGGCAAGGCTCATTGGGTACTCAGTAAGGAAAGGAGGAAAACCTGTCATTTGCTCAAGTCTTTAATGAGTACTTTAGGGGCATGTTACCTAGTATGACTATATAAATATGCACATGAGGGAAGAATGTATCCTTGCCACGTATCCTTATAGTTCCCAAAACCAGAGGAGCCTAGGTCAGGGCACCAGCTACCAGGCTCAAGTTTCTCTCTTGCTTCACTCACTTTCTTTGCCCTGTGAAGCTCTTGTCACAATGTGGAAGTTCTTCTTCAGTAGGAAGAACTTAGTCCTGCTTTGGATGCATGTGGGTGAGCTCCTGTGGTTCCTTCCACTCTAAAATAATCTGTTTCTAAGTGACAGTGTCAGTCTCTACTTCAGTTTTCTCTCTGCTAACCCCAAAGATCTCATAAGCTACAGGAAAGTTGACCTGTGCAAGGTGGGAAGTGGCGTCCTCCCAGCAACCGGCTCCAATCTGGTCTCTCTCAGCCAAGACATAAAACTATGGTGAGAGCCTCCCGGTCCTGTACTAGTGCTGTGCTGGTGTTCCCTGGGGCAGGCAGCTCAACATGAACTGCATGCTTTGAGACTGTAAGCTGGACCTGCTGGCAGCTGGGATCTTCTCATCCAGGACAACGCACTGCGCCTCGAGATCAGCCTTCAGAAGGGGATACTGCTGGGGTGTCCCTCAAAGCGAACAGCAGGCTTTTGTGGACCATCGGTGTCAAATGCCAGCCTGCAGGGAGTACTAGGTTTGGATGACCATCGTTTTCTGAGGCAGCGAGCTGCACATTACCTGCTGAAATTTGTTCTTCCCCCAGCCTGTGTGGCTCCCAAACCCGCCTGGACGCGTTCCTGCGCAACCTGCTCTAGGTGTCCCTACCTGGGCAGGGGTTTGGACCAGGTGCTCTCCAGAGGTCCCTTCCAACACGAATGATTCTATGTGATTTCATGTCAGCTTTCCAGCCAGCAGCGTTGATGCTCCCCCTGTTGTATGGCAGCACAACAACTTGTACCGCCCGCGTTCGCTGCAGTTGCACCCCACGAAGCAGAACCCCCCCCCCCCACCTTCGCAGCACCACCTCCCCCTCAGCTCCTCTCTGCCAGCCGCAACCCACCAAGACACCGGCACGGTCCGCAACCCCCTTTGCTGACCTTGGCCCGGCGGCTCCGCAGGCGGACCCAGCTCCTGGGGCGAGTCGCCTGGCGAAGAGGGAGGGAGAGGATGAGGGAAGCGGAGAGTGCGAGAGGGAGATGAAGAAGGGGAGAGAGGAGGAGGAAGAAGAGGGAGGGAATAGGGAGAAAAGGAGAAAGCGAGACGACGGGGAGAAGGAAAAAAAGAGGGAGGGGATAGGGAGGGAAAGGGGTGGGGCGAGGCGGCCCTGCTATTCTCGCCCTTCCTGAGACTGTGGTTGCGCAATGCATGGGAGAGGCGGCGAGGGGAGGAGGGTGAGCAGCGCTTGTGAGTGAGGAAGCGGAGGAGAGGAGAACGAGCAAGCAGTCGGGCGGCGCGGTCAGACCAGGACAGACCATGCGGCCGGCGGTGCCGCTGCTGCTGTGGCTGCTGGTCTTCCTGGACTTCCTAGGTAAGTCTTGGTTGGGGGAGATGCCCTCGTGGCGGACCCTTCCTGAGCCCTCCGCGTGTTCTCTTCCCTCCTTCCCTGCCGCCCGGCTCCCCTGACCGGCGTCGGGGCGGGCAGCGAGTGTTGGCGGCATCCCTGCGGAGGAGCTCTGCGCCCGGTACCGTGTCCCCCTCTCCTGGAGCGGCGGCTGAGAAAGTTGGGCTCCGGCTTTGAGGGCGGTTCCTCCGTTCCAGTCCGTTTGAATGGAGGTGCTCGGCAGCGCCGCTTCCTCTCGCGTGTGCTGGAACTGCGCGATGAGCAGGGCGATGAAGCTCCTGTCCTGTGAGGAAGGCTGGGAGCTGGGCTTGTTCAGCCTGGGAACGAGAAGGCTCCGGGGAGACCTTAGAGCAGCTCCCAGCGCCTTTCTGATGAATGGGGAAAACTCTGGACTTCTCAGAAATCCGTGTTGCTTGTAGAGTGTGGTTAGCTCAGCAGGTTGTTAATAGGAACGCTAAACATGGTTTTAAATGGTATGAATTGAAAGATCGGTCATCAGCTGCCTAAAGCTGACACCGATTGTGTTGTCCTGTTATCTTACTCTTGAATCTTCCTGAATAAACAGGAAGCCCTGAATTTCATAGAATCACAGAATGGTTTGGGTTGGAAAGAACCTTAAAGCTCGTCTAGTTCCAACCTCCATGCCGTGGGTCCATCCACTTGACCAGGGTGCTCAAAGCCCTGTCCAGTTCCTCACAAAAGGAAAAAAGAATCCTCTCCTGCCTGCTTAAAAGCTCTTGATAAATCTTTGTCTCCAGAGCTGTGGCTGTGATTAATACCAAAAAGGAACAAATAGGTGCGTTTTGTTTTTTTTTCCATTGACATTTAATGCGACAGGATGGACGCAGAGTGAAAAATGTTACTTGAGAGTTTCTTAGCTTAATGTGATTAATGGTCTTAGTCCTTGGAAAGCCAGGATCATCTCTGGATTGATGCACAGGCTCCTTGGATCTTGAGAGTTGACAAGTGTGGTTAAAGGTGTTTGTCCAGCAGAGAGGTTAACCGCTGTGAAATGGGAGATCTGTCCCCTTATAAAATGAAGTAGAAAAGAGGGGGGGAAATCCCTGGGAAATTTAGGAAACATACAATGGCACTTGCTTTCTTTAGAAGCTGAAACAGTGGTGGAGACCTTATACATCATTTCCTTTAAGAAAAGGAAGCTGTCAGCATTGAGTGGGAGGTTTGTTCAGACTGTCACTAGTACAGCAGAGCAGGGAAGTGAGTGAGTGATCTCTCACTCCCCCTGGTTTTAGAGGGGAGGAGATGATGTTGATCCTGTCTTACTCCTGGGGGCTCTGAGTGTCCTTGGGCAGGAACTCTTCAGCTCCTTGCTGCCATGCCATTTTTTCAGCAGCCAACAAAACAACAGTGAGCTGAAGAGGACAGTGATCACCCATACCAAGTAGCAGCTGTGGAGGGAAAATGTGTTTTCTTTTCAGCTCTGCTTTCTTCCAGTCTCATTTCTGGGCTTGAAGAAGAAGCAACCTTGCTCTTGTAACTCCAGCCTAGCTTTTGTGACTAACTTTCGAGAGCAATGATACAGAGTTTACATGCATCAATACCCAGGCTTAGGAAGTTATTAGTGGTGGGCTGAGCAGTGGTGGTTCGCCTTGCTTGTACTTTTGGTATCTGGAAAATGGCTGCTTTCTTCCCAGAAGGGAATTGCATTACCTTGCTCGTGCCAACAGCGCTGTGGCTTGATACATTAAGCCACCTCAGTCTGGCTGTGGGTCTGTGAGCTAAAGTTAATGAGAGGCATAGTTTCATGGTTGGTAGAGCAGGGAGTATTTTTCCATGTGTCCTGTGTTCAGCAGTAGCAGTCATTTTTCTCCTTAGTAGCTGGTGCAGCATTGTGTTTTGACTTTTGGCCTGGGAACAGAACTGATAACACCGATGTTTTAGTCTGACCAAGGACTTTGTGAGCCTCATGCTCTGCCAGGGAGGAGGGGAAGCCAGGAGGAAGCAGGGACAGGACACCTGACCCGGGCTAGCCAAAGAGGTATTCCATACCACAGCACATCATGCCCAGGAGGTAACTGAGAGTTACCTGGGAGGGAGTGTACGGCAGGGTTGGATGAGGTATTGGTCGGTGCTTGGTCGGGCTGGGGGGGGCGAGTTATCGGTTGGCTGGTGGTGAGATGATGTATTCTCTTCCCTTGTTATTTCCTTTATCATTATTATCATTGGTGGTAGCAGTAGTGATTTGTGTTATACCTTAGTTACTAAACTGTTCTTACCTCAACCCATGGGAGTTGCATTCTTTTAGATTCTCCTCTCCGTCCCTCCAGGAGTAGGGGGAGGGCAAGAAAGGGGGGGGAGTGAGTGAACGAGGTGCCTGACTGGTTTTAAACCATGACACCATGCTAGGAGCACTGTAGGTCCCTAGGCAGTAAGAGAGGACTTCTGGATGAAGATGCACTCCTAAGCGTTGCCTTTATGAAACAAATCTCTAACAAGACACCAAGCTTCATCACATCAAAACAGTGTTTCATTTTGCACAACATCCTGCTGCCTGGTGGTCTCCAAAGACAAATGTTTGGAGATCCTGGGTTCTGTGCTTTTCTGGAAATTGCTAATTGAGATGAGTGGAAAGAGATGCTCATATTGGAACAGCAGGAGCAAGTGAAATGTTTAAATCTGTCTCAGCAGGAGAGAAGACAAAGGCAGCAGGGTTGTCATGAAAAGATGTGGGAGTGGTAGCTGAGCCCTCTCTCCTCTTTGCTTTTCCAGTTCCTGTGCCTGGAAAAGGCTACTGTGTAAGTGCAGACAACGAAAGTAGAAACTGTAATGGCATGAGAACAGTACTCATTGCAAACAGATTGGATGGTCCATAAGTAAGGCCTGGATGAGACCTTCTGTGCATGGAGTTCTGTACCTGTCACACAGAAGTGTGTTTCCCATTGCTTGTCTTCATTCTCTCTCTGCGAAAGTTTCTTTGGTGTGACACCAGGCCAAAGAGCAGGATGCTCTAGCATGCTGTCAAGCATTGTTCTTTGCCTGTGGGAAACCTAATCTTAATTACTGGCCATGCTGACCTCCTGACTGCTTTCCTGTGGAAAGGAGATCGGATGTGGAGTGACGTGGCCTGTGGTTTGTTTTCTGGACTCATACGCAGTGAAGTGGCTTGTTCTGGTGCGATAAAGCTGTAGTATCCACAATGATTTTATGAACAGTAGTTTTCATATGAAGATGGCATGAAAAGGGAGGGAAGCACAGAATGATACAGGAATTGATGAGTTCTTGACTTGATGCTGTTTAGGAGTAAACCTCCCCCAAAACCACAGAAGTAAACCCAAAATAGTAGCTATCACATGGGAGCAATTGTCTTGAAGAATAAGCTCATGAAATATTTCTTTTTCACTGTGTGCAGTTACTGTATTTATACTCACGCCCTTCCTTCAACTTAGTAGTGGAGTAGAATCAAGTCCTTAATTGCACGTGTAATTTGAACTCAGTATTGCCATGTTTTTGTCAGTGTGCACGTACATGCCTGCCACGGCAGTAGTCCTGTGATTTTCTTTTCTGTTAGAGCCATTCAGAAGTAGAAGTAGGAAGTGATTGCTGAAGACCGGAGCAGGGACACAGAGGTGCTAATGGCTTACAGTATCCCTTCCCCATAGCAGAATGTTGTAACATCTGTTAGATGAGTCGATTTTTTAGCACGTGTAGCTGTCCTTAATAAAAACAAGGAAAAATCTCTTGCAGTTCTTCTTTTCTCTTGTTGTGTGTTGGTTTGTATTGAATGTCTAGGTTTTTTGAGCAGAGTACAATTGATTCAACACTCATAGCAGTAAGGGTTTCTGGACATCCCCCTTCTCTTGCTTGGGAAGTTATTTAACATAAACTTGATGAAGTGAGGTTTCCAGGGGAAGTCCCTAGGATCCCCATGAGTTCAGAGCAGATGCTTTGAACAGAGTAGCAACTTTGCATTGGAAGTGTGCTTTTTACTAACTCTGTGGGTACTCATGCTGGAAAAATTGCAGTTTATTTGCTCAGCAGGATCTTCCATTTGGGTATTCTGCAGCAGGATGCTGAGACAGATTTTGCTGGTGATGACAACTCTTCATTTTATCTTTTTTCATCAGACCATAGGCAGGAGGCCTAATTCAGGTGAATAAAGGAAAAGTACTGAGGATAGAGGAGCTTAGGGTAGGGAAGAAGATTCGGACAGTGATTCTACCTGGGACCGTTATGTGGAAAGTGCATCCCTTTGTGGTGCCTGTCACACAATTGTGCAGAAAGCCCAGGTTTGAGTAATACTTAACTGATGCATGCCTTATTTATCAACATCGTGATGTGCTTCTAACCTAAATTTGAATGTATCTGGTAGTGCATAGAGTATTAGTCAGGCAATAGTGTATAAAACAATTGTTAAAGTAACTTTTTTCTTTTTTTTTCTCTGTAGCAGGCATCTGCTGCCAGGACCTGTTTGGCATTGTGGGAGAAAATTTTACTTTTCCAGTGAATATAGAAAAAAACCCAGATGAAATAATTTGGACGAAAAACAAGGATAAAGTGGCTGAATGGGAAGGACAAAACACGATGTATTTTCCTTCTTTCCGTAACAGAAGCTTCCTTAATGAGGAGAATGGCTGCTTGACTATATTTAACTTGCAGAACAGTGATGCTGGCGTATACGTATTGGAGTACTTCAGTACTCAGAAAGAAAGTTCTCCATTAACCTTCACACTTACTGTGCTACGTAAGTAGTGGAAGAACTGCATGAAGAATTTGCACCACGTTATTCGCTTTAAGAAGGCTAGAAAGGGGGGTGTTTATTTGTCAGGGAAGCAAATGGCAACAGTGGGAGGCTGTTCTTTTGGCTTTGTTAAGTTGCTTTGGCACTTTAAACAAATTTCCAAAGGTGGCATCTAATTCATGTGCCTGTCATTGCTCACCTTGGAATGATTTCTTGAATGAGTATAGATGGCACGCTGTGTACTTTCAGGTAGATAACCAGACTCTTTGAGCAAGCTCACCCAAGTTATCCCAGGCATTAGTTGTCTACTAAAGATGTTCCTTCAGGCATACTATACGTAGTTAAATATCTTTGGTATTATCCTGTGCAGATCTAGACAGCTTTACATTGAGAAATGTATTTGGCCAGTGTTTGTATTAATCCTCTTGACAGCGAACCATGAGGAGTCTTGAACTAGGCACAGAACCACCACAAACAGGGCTGCTTTTAGAAACAGATTTCTCACAGATGTGCATGAGCACACACACACACATATGTTTTTATCTATGCACCCTCCTGCTGCTTTTGTTGTCTGTGCTAAAATTCAAGGTGGTTTATTACCAAAGTAATATAGTATGGTCTTTGTTTTTTTTTTTCTTCTTTCTAGCTCCCCCTTCAAAACCTGAAGCAAGTTGCAATGACAGCGGGGATGCCTTTGTGTTGAAATGTACAGCAGATTTCCCAAAGCCTCTGCATTACACGTGGAAGTTGAATGGCAATCCACCAATCGTTCACCACATCCCAGAAGTTTTCATCCCTAAGAAGGATGTTGGTGCTTCCACGAAAGCTGTGTGCTTCATTAAGTTCTCTCAAACGGAAAAGAGCTCTGAAATCTCTTTGACTCAGTGCTTTTCAGGTAAAAAAAAGTAATGAGCCCTCCATGGGCTGCAGGTGAATATCTGCTCCACCGTGGACCTCCATGGGCTGCAGGGGGATATCTGCTCCACCATGGCTCTCCATAGGCTGCAGAGGAGTCTTTGCTCTGGTGCCTGGAGTACCTCCTCTCCTTCCTCCTTCTTCACTGATCTTGATGTCTGCAGGGCTTTTTCTCTTGAACATTCTCACTCCTCTGTCTGCTGTTGCATGTCAGTTTTTACCCTTTCTTAAATAGGTTATTGCAGAAGTGTTACCACTGTTGCCGATGGGCTTGGCCTTGGCCAGTGGTGGGTTCATCTTGGAGCCAGCTGGCCCTGGCTGTCTGACATGGGGGCCGCTTCTGGCATCTTCTTACAGAAGCCACCCATGAAGTCTCCCTGCTACCAAAACCTTGCTTGCAAACCCAAGAGAAGATGTTTGATGAAATTTTATTTGGCTGATTTCTGGCTCAGCCTTTCATAGGCCAAAAAATGGGGTGGACATTGACTTTCAAGTGGTGATGTGCCTTCGCTGTACTAAGGAACTTAGCGTCTAACTTTACCAGAGCTGGTGTAGGGTTTTGCTAATAACTCATTCTGGTACATTAATTTCTTGAGGTTACTTTTTAAAAACCAAATACCTATAAAGATACTCAGGGTTGTATCTGTTCTGAAGTAGTGTAGCACACAGTTGCTTTCTCACTGACCAATCCTTATTTTATTTGTTTAAAGGAGACAGCCATCACAAAAGAAGCAGAGATGGTCTTATTGCAGCTTTTGTTATTTGCGTGGCAGTTGCAGTAATAGTAGCATTTCTATGCGAAAGAGGTATGTATAGTACTTCCTAATGGAGCTCAACATGCTTCAAGATGACTGAACGGAGTTTCTCTACAATGTTAGGAAGTTTCTGACTCTGGGATGTATTGTAAACACAGCAGAAGAAACCAGTGCAACTTAGGCAAGGGCAATGGGTTTGAAAGAAGTAATATACTAAACTTTGTGCATTCAGACACTGGGCTCTGTGTACTGGGAAATGTTGTAGTTTGTATTTGTGTATTTCTCCTTCAGACTAGGTGTTTCATTTGCTATGTGTTTCTATTTACTAAGTATTTATGGCCTCTCCCATTCCTATCCGAGTGTGCCTTCACTACCTTTATTCAGGGTATCATAAAGCTTGCCCTCAAGATCTATTCATTGCTGGGACAGGCCTATACCAAGGCTTCTTGAATATCTTATGCTGAATCTGATCCAACAACTTGCTGTGCTCAACTCATACCCATGAGACAGGAAGCTACCAGTTGGAATAGTTAAAGCATAGCGCTGTATCTCAAAGAGTTTGGTCTGCATGATAGCTAGGTGGTGGCGATAGAAGTAATTTCGTCAGCCTAACAGATTCAGTGGCAGCATGAAGAAGTGAAATCAGCTTGCATCAATAATTGTGAATCCCTCGATTCCCAAGGGATATAGTTGAAGTGCAGGTAGACCTGCTTGGAAAGAATTTTGCTGCAGTTGTGTAAGATATTTTAGATGTAAAACTGTAGGTAAATACGTAATAACACTTTCTCATTGCTGATATGTCTGTAAAGCTTATGTAGATTAGGTGATACTGAGAACTGTTGCTGAACTTTGAGTCCATCTAATGATGGCAATCAACTTTTCTATGTTGGAGAAGCTTGCTTTAGTTTACCATAGCTCAAGCATGCTTTACTCTGACTCTAGGGAGATCTGTCTTTACTGTAGATGGATGAAAACTGTTCCACAGAGACTATCATTTGTAGGATGGCTTGAACCAATCTAGCCACTTACTATCACTAAAAGTGGAGGTCTTGCTCTTTGGAACAGCTTTAATGTTCGTCACACCCCTCTGAGCCAGTTAAGCTAACTCAAGTAGCAGGAAAGTGACTCAGCAGAAAAACCTGGGCCATTGCCCGTGAGACTAATAGGTTAAATCAGATCGTGAAGGGCTCTGAAGGGCACCGAGCTGACATACTGGAGGGGTGGGATGCTGGTCAGTGACGGAATCAAAGGTAGAAGGAAGGGCAGGAGACGGGAAGGGGCTAGGGGGGTGAGAGAGGCTTTTGCAGGGATATCAGGACAGGCTGAGATGTGCCTATGAAATGTGTTGCATGAAGCTGTTACTTTCTCACACTGTGAAGATTTGCTGCACTTTGAGCCCGCTGATTTCCCAGAGCTGGAGCCTTTGACAGTACTGGCTGCTCTACATAGAGCATAGCTAGTTTAAAAGTACTTGACAAATAGAACATCTGTGAAGAAACAAACTTTTGGTGGGATGTGAAGTTAGGTTAGCTCTAGCAAATAAACTTGGTGAGGGAAGAAAGGAACGGATGGAAAAAGTAGTTTTGTTATTTGCAAAATGAAAGCCGTATCCTTATCACAGTCTGCACCTTGCTCAAAGGGGGCAGCGGAGCGGGAGGTGTTGATCTCCTCTCTCTGGTAACCAGCAATCATTTTCAAATGTGAGAAAACATGGATGAGCGGAAGGGTGGGAGTGAGTTAAGACTGATGAGAAGAAACCTGACTCAGTGATGTAGATGAAACTGCCAATGAAACTGTCATGAAACAAGGCAACAGACCTAAAACAGGGCTGTAGAGCTGGAGAGGAGGCTGTGGTATCCAAGGCAAATCCTGTTAGTTGCCAGTGGGTAATACTGAAGACCAAATGATGTAAGTTGGCAAATTATTCCTGGCCTATGTGATGTGCTGCTTTGCACAGGCACACACTTGGCCAAACCGTGCTCCTATGTCGCACTTAGGTTTAGCATCTGAAATGGCTGTATTATGTAATGTCAGGGCATCATATGTAACTGTGCTTTCTTTGGTGCAGTTTGCAAGCTCTGTGGGGACAGAACATTTTGTATGTTCTGCAGGGAGTGTGAAACCTGATGCTTGTTGCCACAGCTATAAAATGAGGAGGATGCTAATTTCATATTCAGGCCCTTACTGCATAGACACAAACAGCAGCACCCCCCCAGGCTGCCTTCTCAATCACGTTCTTCAGTCCATCAAGCTGGTATAAATCACCCATAGGTAAAGCAGTAAACCTGCTTGGGTTTTAAAGATACAAATAAAATATACCTCAGGCCTATACAGGAACCTTGTGAGAACTAAAATGGGGACATAATTCTTTTTCTTATTGTCTACAGAGATGAGTACCATGTGTTACCATATGCTGCTCTCCTAGGCTGCTGGCAGTTTATCCTAGATTGGAGTGATGCTGAGCTAGAGACTAGCAGAAGGGATGGGTAGGGCTGTCGAAACAGGAGCAAAGACTGGATGATGCTGGCTTGGCACATCCAGTTGGTTCCTTTTTTACTGTTTGTGTACACCAAGACAGACACATTGATGTGAGCTTTGTGTATGCTTTATTGGTTATCAGCCTGGTTAGATGTTGACGCATGTTGCATGGAGCGAGTTAAGTTGGCAAGTAGGGCACGTAGTCTTGAACTAGCTGGGTTCTAACTTCCTGCACTGCAATTTCCCTTTACTTCCAGTTTCCTTGCTTGTCAAATAAGAGCTCTATTTGCAGTCCTCAAAAGAGAAAACTCAAAAAGCACCTGGTATTACTGTGTGGAAGAAATAGCAGCAGCATCACATTCATATGTGGTGGTGCACAGTTGGTACTAAGACTGTACCTGAACCTTTGAATAAAAGTGGTGTCTTTAATACCTAGTTAAGTGATCTAAAGTCATGGAGTCAGGACAGCCTCACACACTACCAGCTGCTTACCAGGTGGCTGACAATAAGTGAGTAAATGTTCTTAACGTGCTGCAGTTGCAGGGAAATGTTTTTAGCCATATACAGATAATTTGGGTAAAATGGCTATTGGCTATCAGATACCATGGTTTGCCTACCTGTTGTAATTGGATTGCTTTGGATCATGTGAAATGTCTTAATTCATCTTATACTTTATTAGTATTTAAAGCCTGCAGTATTTGTGTATAACCAGTTCAGTTTCCAGAAGAGAAGACATAATAATTTACCTGTGTGCTTTTCTTTTGCTTCATCTCTTAAATCATAAGCAAAGAATTGCCTTGTGGAACAAACAAGAATGGAAGAGAAGCTGTAGAATTCAACACTGAAGAAGCTTCCACCTTTTCTCTTGGAGGTTTTCCAACAAGCACTGAAGTCATCCATAAAGTGGATGCTTTGAAGGCCAGCTGAACTGTTTCCAGTGTCTGCTCTTTTCTTAGAAGGGACAGTGACACTAACACAAAATGTAAGGGTTAAGGTCTTTTTCATCACATGTAGAAACTAACAAAGACATGTTCATTTACATGAATGTAGATAAGTCAAAAACTGTTTAGCTTTCTATGCAGTGTTAGATCACTACTTGTTTACAGACAGAAGGGCAGTTGACCTTCAGCAAACCCAGGTGCCTTTTCTCATCTCTGGGTTTTTTTCTAGAACTTTTGATATTTTTTGCACTTTTAAGGTTCCTTTTTTGTCTTAGCTTCTGCTTCACAGTATTCTAAAAGAATGTCAGTCTACCCATTGCTATACAAAGAACAATATGTTTTTAGGCTGCTTGTGACTGCAAAGAAAACTTGAAAACTGAAGTCACTGAAGCTCAAAAAGAATCAAAGATTAAAAAGTACCATGTTAATACAGCCCAGGATGCTGTTGGGTGCCTTTGCTGCCAGGGTACACTGCTGGCTCTGGATGCCGGAGAGGGACTTTTCATCAGGGACTGTAGGAATAGGACAAAGGGTGATGGGTTTAAACTGAAACAGGAGAAGTTCAGGTTCAATATAAGGAAGAAGTTCTTCCCTGTGAGGGTGGTGAAGTGCTGGAACAGGTTGCCCAAAGAAGTGGTAAATGTTCCACCCCTGGTAGTGTTCAAGGCCAGGCTGAACAAACCCTTGGGCAACATGGTCTACTGTGAAGCGTCCTTGCCTATGGAAGGGGGGGGTTGGAACTGGATATATATTATTATATATTATATAATATAGACTGTAGAATCATAGAATGGTTAGGTTTGGATCATCCAGTTCCAACACCCTGCCATGGGCAGGGATGCTTCGCATTAGAGCAGGTTGCTCCAAGCCCCATACAGCCTGGCCTTGAACAGCAACATGAGTGGAGAATTGTTAAATAAGCTAAAAAAGCTCTGTCGCATCTTTTTGTAATGCATACTTAAATTTCTTACACTTTAAATTTAGTAAATGATCCCCAAAACTAATCATTAACTTGAAATGATTTATTTATTTGTATATTTAAGTCGCAACCCCTTCTTCACTGCACCCTCAATGGATTTTCCACTGCACCTTCAATGATGCTGTCTACCTCTTTGTAAGAAGTTTCCACACAAAGATGTCCTTTGTCATGTGTATCAGGGAAAGGGTAAACCTGTAGCTTGTCTTCCTGCTTGGACAAAGGCTTGCTTTCTGTTATTAATATGGAAAATAATGGTGGAAAAAAAATGGTTGTTTGGAGGAATAGGCTAAAACTGCTCCCGGAAACTACTAGTTCATCCAGTACGCATCATTCTTCCTGTGTAATTTAAAACTTAGAAGGCATGCAGAAGTCTTATATAGGGAGTGGTTTTGAAAATTCCTTGACACTTGATACCATTGACTTTGTTTCCAAACAAAAAAAAGCAACAGCCTTCAAAAATAGTAAGCGGTTGGGGTTAAGTAACCACCACTGCTGGAAATCTTTAGCATAATTCATGCAATTTTGGAGCTTTGTCCAAAGTAGAAAAGCCCAGGCTAATGTAAGACCAAAAACTACAGGCTCTACACTGTCTCACTGCATGTTTTCACCCACTCACTTTGCACAGTGTCCTGGTTTCAGCTGTAACAGGTGTAGTTTTTTTTCTCCTTCCTAGTGGGTGATACAGTGCTGGGTTTCAGCTTCAGTCTGGCATAACGCTGATAGCACCAGCTAGAACATCAGCGTTTTCAGTAATGTTTACCCCCCCTCCTCACAAGAAGCCTGGAGGAAGCAGAGACAGGACACCTGACCTGCTGTAGCCAAAGGGCTATTCCATACCACAGCATGTCGTGCCAAGTATAGGAACTGGCGGAGTCCCTTTGAAGGGACGATCGCTGCTTGGGTTGGGCGGGGTATCGGTTGATGGGTGCTGAGCAATTTTATTGTGCATCACCTGTGTTTACTGGTGTTTTTCCTTTCCCCTTTTAGTTTCATATTCTTTCCCCTTGTTATTTATTAAACTCTTCTTATCTCAACACGTGGGGTTTTATGTTTGTTCATTTTTTTTTGCCAGGAGGAGGGGGGGAAATGGAGGGTTTTGCAGCATGGTGCTGATTTATTGACCTGGCTTGAACTGCGACTCACAACATCTGCTGTGTGTGAGAAACTTCTACACAGTGGTAGAAGTACAGATGTTCACAGAATCATGGAATCAACTCGGTGAGCCTGCCCTCTGACGCCCTGGAGTCCCAGCTCATGCTGATGGTGAGACCTGGTTGGTAAAAATGGCAGAAACTGAAAATGAGTAGGAGCTGCTGCTGTGAGTACTTTTGGTCACAAGACACACCATAGCTGGTTCCTTACTTTCCTTTTCATAGTATATTTACCCTCCCCAGCAGTGCCTGGGGAAACATTGCTCCTCATTAATGCCAGAATAAATGAGAGCTTTTTCATGGGCTTTCAATTCCAGTGCCAGTTGGGGATAGTGGGAGATAAATACAGAACCCAGGAATATCTCTGTCCTTTTGAGTCTTCCAGGAAATTTAAGCAAGCCCAGTATGACCCATTAACTGAGAAGAAAAGCACAGCCAGCAGCTGCAGTGGCACTGACCCATGACGAGAGCATGTCCTAGTCAGGGATTGTTTCATTCCCCAGGTAGGGCTTTCAGGGAAGTTCCGTTAGGGAATGTTAAGTCATATTGTTGGAGGTGGGAGTGGGAGACAATGGGGAGCATTTGTGTTGCTGCCTGTGGGTTTCTACAGTAGGTTTGTGCTGCCCGTGTTATTCAGGGTGCTCTCTCAATGGTTTTTGGCAGTTTTATAGCACTGAGATGTGCTGACAAGCAGAAAAGATGTTCTGCTCCAAAAGCAGCTGCATGTAATGGTCTGAAACTCCTGAAGGTGAGTCTACAAAATGTTCCGAGATCGTGCTAGTTGAGAGGCACTACAGAGATTAAATATTTTATCAGAGTGCCATTCCCTGCGCCTGTCCTCCGTATCACAGCCTATGGGGCTGCTCAGAGAAATGCTGCACAAAGAACGGGTGTCTGAAAGGGTTTATTTTTTCATAAATTTTGTATGCCCAGTCCCAAAACAGAAGAAAAAGTTGAGGAGAAAAAGCAGGTCAGGTAGAACGGGAGGGTCTCAATAGGCAGCCATGGTTGCCTTGATCCAGGAGACGTAATTGCAGACCTTAGTGTAAACCCCAGGGTAGCCTTTCTGGGCACATCCAAGACCCCAGGAAACAATGCCCTGGAGCTGCCCGTTGCAGACCACTGGACCGCCAGAATCCCCCTGTGCATATAAAGGATGTGCAAGTGTTACCAGTGTAAGTGATGAGCCAGAGATCCCAGAAATCACTGACACCTGAGGGAGCCCCATCCTGTTTTTTCTATAGAGAAGTTCTACAAAGGCCAGTTCTGATTAGCACTCTACGTCTGATGCTACTGTGCCTGCTTTAGCTCCAAGCACCGCACAGCTAAGGACGAGTAAGCTGCCTGTTTCTGACAGATGCAGACCCTGGCAGATGATTAGGCTGTGTT